CCCCAAACCCCCAAAACCCCAAAACCCCAAAACCCCTTTTTAAAACAATAGTCTTGAATAATTATAAAAATGAAAAAATTAGACTTTAAATATGAAAGTGAAGGCCGTGATAAGGTAGGTTTTAACTCCGATCCCCGTTTCTTTCCTAATTATTTTCGAGTATTGTGGGGCATATTCAACCTGAGATATAGCAGAGGAAGCCTAGTAAGAGTAGAATAAACCCTGAGCAATATGTGTTTCCTCATCATAAGAGTACAAGTTCTCTTTCAGGAGTTGGGGTGAGCAATCTCGCAAATGCAAAGAGTATATCGACCCTCTCACCAGCAATGAGTGGATTCTATCAATTACAAAATTTCAAACAGTTAGCAAAATTTAATAAATTGTCTGGGAAAGTCTCTTCTAAAGGGAAGGTTACCTCTAAGAGAAAAAGTGGGAAGTTCAAGAGTATATCAAAGGGATTTGAAGGTAAACAAACTAACACCTGCCATATCTGACCTTTCTGTAGAAAATAATTACAAAACCAGCAAGAATAAAGGCAGTAATGAAAGACAAGGGCTTAAAATAGCTTCAAGGAACACTTTCTTGGCGAAACTAGCAGATCAGCATAATAATAGCTCACTTGAAGAGTATAATATGAAGGGCAAGATGTCGGCGGCTAAGATGATTGGTCACAGAAGAGAAAATACAAAGGTATATTACTAAAAATTGCTTATTTGAATCTCTTTAGAATGCTCATTTGTCGATCGGGAATTATGTACCCAATCTGGAAGATAATAGCTCATCCCCAATAGCTAAGAAACCTAAATATACCCGGAATAAATTGAAGAAATATGCAACTAATCTTGGGTTAGGATCATCACGAAATAATGCAAGTGGGGGTATACTTGCAAATGGTTCAATTCCTAAAACTTATAAAAGAAGTAAGTGGGCTACTATTTTCAGTCATTTTCCTGTAATTTTCATTCACTTCTGCCAATTCCTTCTCTATGTAACTACTTTTGGTTAAGAGACTCACCTCAAGTTAGGTATGAAGGAGAGTCAAAAAGTTGAAGAGAAGAAAAAGCTGGTATGGAAGAACTTTATCATACTTTAGAAATCAACCCTCAATTACAAGTCTAATAGAAGGTTGTCTAATAAATCAGAGATTGGATTGAAAGGGAGTAATGGACAAAGTTCAGATTTTGGCTTCTGCCAAACCACCACAGCCATAGACAAATTCAAGATGAAGAGTTTTGAAAAACCATCTAAGGCAAATATGATGTTTATGAGTAATAATAACCATATAATGACTGTGAAAAATCAAAGATGTCAGATTGAAGGAATATTTAATTCTGGGAGAAAGAAGGGAGCTTCTAATAGAAAATATATCAATAACTATCAAGGAATCGCTTCAAATGATTGAAATGACCTTCTTTCAACTACAACTGACCGTATCGAGTCAAATAGGACTATAAAGAATAGAGGTGGACTAAATGCAGAAAGTCATAGAGATATCCAAGAGAGGAAAGCTCTTCAGAAAATTCAAGAGACGCTTGAAAGGGAATATAAATTTTACCAAGTTTCAATTAAGACGAAGGATCAGTCCCAAGAGAAGGTCCCTGAAATTCTCTTGCGAGATGCCTCAAACGATACAATTAAGAAGTTATGCAAGATATATCCTCAATTCTCTACTATCCTGGCACAGATTGGGAACTGATATAACGACTGTATTGATACAGCCATTTCTGATTTTGAAATGAAAGATCAGGAGATAAAGAAATGGAGAAAAGAAGCCATGGACTTGAACAAGAAAATAGGAGAGTTTATCAGACAATCTGACACTAAAGATCAGAAAATAGTTGATCTCTCTAAAGAGATCACTAAACTTAAAAGACAGCACAGAGATAGTGAGATTCAAGTACGAAGACTTGAAGAATATGCTCAAGAAATGCAGTCTAAGGCCCATTCACTTTTTGGGAGGTATGACCAAGAGAAGGTTCTTACAGAAATAAAGCAGCTTATAAAGGAAAATGAGGATGTCAAGTGCATTGCAAGGGAGCTTAAGAGCGAAATCGAGTACGGCAAGCAAAGAGAGAACAAGTTGATGTACTTCTTGTTTCTCATGCAGCAGAAAAATTACCCAGTGTTTGATATCTTTGAAAAGCATATTAAAGATCTTCCCACATCCAGGTTCTCAACCAATCTGGATGACAAGTTTAAGGAGATTTATATTGAACAGAAGAAAAAGATGAAGGAAATGGGGCTCATTGGCGACTTTGACTTTGCTTGCACTGCTAGGGCTCAAAAATTAGGAAAGCTAGACAAGCAAACGGAAATGTCAATATTTAGTGAAGAAAGTTTCGAGCCCATAAATGGTGGCCCTGCTCCTCTGGTGTCGAAACCACTGAACGTGCCAGCTTTAGACTTTGGCTTAATGAACGAGAACCTTGCAAAGGAAAGAATGAAAACGAAAAATAAAGAAAATAAGAAGAAAAAGAGGAAACTAGGAGGATCTGATCCTGGAAGGCTTAGCCAGAGTGAGCATGGCTCTTCCCTTTTTAAAAACATGGTAGACGAGATTGACCACAACAAGTATGGAAGAAATTTAGAATACTTTGAGGATGAAGAAGAATATAAACAAGGCATGAAAAATTACCCCCAGAATTACGACTGTAGAGTAAATAGCGACGAAGAGAGCAGCCCTTGAAGCTGATCTTACTGCCTCAGAAAGGAAGGTAGCAAAGGAGGTCTTGAGGAATTGATAAAGAGAAATGATCTTGAGCCAGATTCTGATGAGTCACTGAGTTTCCATAGCTCGATTCTACACGAAAATAAAGGTGATAAGTATAAGAATATCAGAGAAATAAGGAGGCTCTATGAAGTTATGAAGGATCCAGAGGATGCTTAAAGAAGCAAACAATAATTTAGATAAAGATTGATGATAAGATAAAATTCTAATATTTTTGGTAAAAATATTCAATTTTCTCAATATTTTTATTAAAAATAGGGGTTTTGGGGTTTTGGGGTTTTGGGGTTTTGGGGGTTTGGGGTTTTGGGGTTTTGGGGTTTTGGGGGTT